CCTCCAGCGCCGCCGCCCATTGGAAAAACGGCGGGTTCCCGCCGCCGGCGCCGGCGCTACCGCCTGGGAATGAGATGTCGAAAACGTGGACCTCCCCCCGGCTGGTGCCCGCACAGAGCTGCGCGGCGGCCGCGGCGGCGCCGCTGTTGCCCAGCGGGGCCGCCGCGGCATTGAAGGCGAGGCCGCGGACAAAATCAGAGCACGACGGCGGCGGGGCGGCTGCTGCTGCGGCGGCGGCGCGCGGGGGCAGGGGCCAGCTGTAGAGCAGGCTCGCCCCCGCCTCGTCCCACACCTTTCAGAAGGTTGAGTGCATAGGAGGGGGATGCCAAGGCGTGGGGCTCTCTAACATGATAAGCACAATTGCACGTCTCAAGCGCCTGCAGCTGCTGAGAATCTGCTCATGCACTCCCGCAGCCAAAAAGGACGCAGCACACAGCTGTTGCCACAGCGCCGATGCAAGCGGCTGCAGGCAGGCGCGCGCGTGGGTTGGAAGGAGCGCGGCGCCACGCGCGCCCACCTGCACGCCTGCGTCGCCTCCGAGCGCGACCAGCGCCGCGGCGCCGACGCGGCAGGCGCACACAGACTGGATCGAGGCCGCGTTGGGCACGTCGACCTGCGTGCCGGTTTGGGGCATGCGGGGTTTCAACTGTTGATTCAAATTCCACAGCGGGACAGGCTCGTGTGCAGCAGCTTCCACTGGCTGGGCTACGGCTGCCAGTATGACCTCTTTGGGCACGCGTGCCCTGCAGGCAAGCAGGGCAAGCAAAAGCTCCGCAATTCAACCCGGCTAGCGCTGAGGCGCGCGCACCCTGCGGGCCTGTGGGGCGGCCTCCGCGCTGGCGGCTAGACTGGGCAGGATGACAACCTGCGCATGCAAGTGGATGGCCGCGAGCCAACCATTTCAGAATCAGGGCGATCTGAGGGAAACCTTGGCAAGGGCTTGAGTGCAACAGTGCAGGCCGGGCAGCCAAGTCGGGCCTGCTGCAGGAAGTCCTTTCCTAGCTGCGTTCGCGGCATGCACTGCACCGGTTGGGATGGTCGCGCATGCAGCCATGCGTCTCGCATGCACATGGGCATGCAGATCACATGCCCAGCATGTGTGCATGCGTGCATGCGCCCTCATGCTGCTGCCCACCTGGCACTTGTGCACAAACGCGGCGCCGCCTCCGAGGGCACACAGGTTGTTGTACAGCGGTGATGCTGACGGTGCGGGCACCTGCACGAGGTTGCAGCGTTGATTGATGCAGCAGCAATTGCCGATGCGCCCATGGCTATCAAGGGGCACTGCACATGCGGTGCGCCGTGGTGCAGTGCCGCAGTGCACACACCTTGACCACTTGCTGCGGCTGCTGCGCCGGTGGCGCCATGATATGCTACGAGCTGCCAGCAGGGTCGTATTTATCAAGGCAGCAAGCCTTTGCTTGAGAGCTCCTCTAGAGCTGTGTTATACTGTACCCACAAGTCAAACACAAGTGCGGTCGATCTCGAGGAAGTGCATGTGATATTGTACATGTGATCGCATCACAGCTATGTGCCTAAGATACCGTCAAACCATTGACAAAAAGCCTATTATCGGAGGTACAGCTGCACACGCCAGATCTCACGTGAGGAACGGAGCGCGATCGCCTGAAATGCTTGGATGCACGAAGGTCAAAAATTCAAACATTCCGCTTCTTGTCAAATCCGCGAGGTGCTGCATATTCCTCGTCGGATCCTCTGACGACACACCGTCGTCACTTGTGGCCAGTTTATATTGAGGTTCCCCGCACCTGATACAATCAGTTGGCCGCGGCCTCACCGAACCCCAAACACCCCAACCCACGACTCGACCACCTCGCCACCATGGCGCCCCGCAGCCTCGCGTTTGCCGCCGTGCTCGTGGCGCTCGCGGCCACCGCCACTGCCGCATACCGCCCCGAGCCCCCATCCTGGATGGCCGACAACGAGTTCCCCTACGCCTCCATGTGGTCCCAGGCCACGGGCAAGGTGCGCGCTGGTGGGGGCCCCGAGCATCCGCTGCCACAGATCTCGTGATCTGAGTTGTTGGCGGTTGCGACCAGGTTTGGGCCTCCCTGCTTCAGGGCCTGCCCCTAAGATAGGGTGGGAGCGATTTCATGCGGATCCGATCCCTGGGCAGCCTTGGATGACAGCCAAGGCGGTGGTCTGGGTGCGGGCCGCCCTCCTCCACCCACCTCGCGGCGTGCGCCGCTGGGCGCCTGTGACTCACGCCCCGTCTCTTTGGGCTGTCTTGGCAGCACTCCCGCCCACTCGATTGTTGGGGTCCTTCATATGCATATGCACCCAGACGGCCCCCCTGCCGCCATCCGACCGAGGCCACGCGCCGCGCCCAGCGCGCTGCCGGCGCCGCGTCCAAGGGCGCGCATCGGGACGAGTGGCACCCGGCGCGCGCTGAGCTGGCGCCTGTCCTCACCCACCCCGCTCGCACCCCCCACCGCCACCCAACTCGCACCAACCCCCACCTGCCCCAAAGCTAGGGGTGTGCGTGTGTGTGCTCTGCTGCGCTGGGGCCCCGGTGACATCATCCGCCGTCATGCCAGACGCCCCACCTACCCCAAATCGACCGTCCCACCCCTCAGCCTGCCGCACCACCCATATCTCTCTGCTATCCGGCTCGATCCAACCCCACGCAGGTCTCCAAGACTGCCTCCACCACCCTGGCCCGCTCCAAGGGCGAGGGCGCATACCACGCAGTCAGGTGGGGCTACACACATTGTTGTTGTGTCTATTGCCGGGATTTGGGGGCTGGATGTTTTGTGCTGAGGCTGGATGACCCGTTTGGTGTATGTGTGAGAATTGGGGCGGAGCTATGTCAGCTGGCTGGGTGCCCTGTGCTTGAATTGGATTGCGGCCTCTAGAGGGCCGCCGGGCCGCTGTGCTAAGTTCAGTGTTTTGAGGGAGTGTGGCCAGGGATTTCGCGCGTCTGGCTGAGTGGGCGCGCGGTGGTGGTGCGGTGGGTGGGGTGGGGTGCAAGGGGTGGGAGAGGCTGTTTGAGTTGGGGGCGGTGAAGATGGCGGCATCAGGGAACAAAGCTGTGTTCAGCCGTCCGTCTAAGCATGTTCTTGGCCTTCACCTCGGTCATGTGCACGCTCTAGCTCTTGCTCTCCGTGCTCATCAAGTAGTGAGGGTTTAGGGTTGACGGTGTACTGTTCAGGGTTCAGGGTTCAGGGCTCAGGGTTCAGGGTTCAGGGTTCAGGATTCATGTTGACGTGTCGCGCTCGCCTGGGTCCTCGTCGCTGGTCATCATGATCATGATGATCCGCGCGTCGCTCTCAAAACACAGTCACGCAACGCTGATGCTTCAAAGCCCAATCCCATGAGCCTGGATGGCTCCAGAAGCGGGAGAGCGCGGGATGCTGTAACGATTTTCATCCTCATCCTGCCGTCGTCGCTGGGCCCACCCTCGCCGTCCTGAAATCAGCAACAGGGAAGACGGCGAGGTGACGCCCCGCAAGTGACAGGCACTATCAATGCACCGCGTGTGCATGATGAACGGGGTGGCAACCTGCCCGTGACTGCTTTGGCCCAATGACTGGTGGTTTCACTGTTTGCTGAGTCCCAGACCGGCCGGTTGCTGGCCGCGGGGCATGCATGCGAGCCATACATATTTGCCGACCAAAGCCCTGCGGCTTTGAGACCGCCGTACTGTTGGCTCTATCTGGGTAAACCCAGAGCACAGCATTGCACAACTCTGCGCGCCGCCGCTGCTCGGCAGCCGAGCAGGTTTGCCACCTGACACTCTTCCGATCATAGCAAGCGTTCTAAAGCAAAAATGACTTGATCGGCGTCATTGAGTCACTTTAGGCTTAGAACCCGTGGCCAATTGCTTTCGAACGTCACGCCTCCCAACACCACCTGGATAAAGCTCGCGGCTCCCAGGAATCCCTCTCACCTCACAACCACCACCTGCAAACAAACGCATCTCGCACAACCACATCAAAGAACTACACCCCCACCACCATCACAACACTCACCCCCCAAAATGTTTTCTCCACGCCTCCGTCCCCACCCCCACTCACCCACCAAAAGATACGTTGTGGACCCTGAGCGCTCAAAACCCCCCCCCTCCACTCGCAAACCCCACAATTCAAACCCCTTCCCCACCCCACCCCCCACTTGCCGGTATGTTGTAATCCCATATCCCAGAACCAAACCCACCTCTCCACCACCAAACCCACACCCCACCCCTTCATAGGTACCTCGTGGACCCCGAGCGCCAGGAGGAGTTTGTTGACGCGTGGCGCGAGTTTGAGAAAGACACCTTGGACAACGAGAAGGGCGTGAGGGTGTTTGACCTGAAGAAGACCGTTGACGACGACGTGGGTGGTTTTTGGTGGTTTAATTTATCCAATTTTTTCGGACTTGGTAGTTTCATTTTCCGATTGATTTATACGTGGGTGAATATTCTGTGTTTTTTGGACAGAAATCGGTTACATTGCAGATTCATATGGGTGATTGGGGTGTGGCAGCCAGCTACTCTGTGTGCACGGTGGGGTTTTGTAGGGGTGGGGTGGGGCGTGGGCGCAGCATCCAGGTTGACTGTGTTGACTGGGGTTGGGCTGCAGCAGAGTGCACTGCAGTTGATGTGGGGTTCCGTTTTGAATCTGCTGCCTTTTCATTGCATAAGCATTATTAGAATACATTGCAATAGTTGTCAGCCTGGCACAAGCTAATCAGAAGCGATGGCGCCAGCAGCCCCTTGGTGGATGGGAGATGTGTGTTGCAACTCTGCATGTTGGGGGGGTGGACGCGCGCGTTAGGTAGTGTCCGTACCATGACCCGCGCCCGTCAACCCTACCAACAGCCCTCTGGCGCCCTAAAAAGTGCAAAAAAAAGTGCATCTTACTTCCCCAGCAAACGCGGGGTTTGCTCATCTCTGCGATGGGGTGTGCTGTGCGGTTCCACAAATCATCTGGCCTGACAGCCTGTGCAGGTCGCAGCCCCTCCTCCCCCGGATTCTGGGCGCGAGATTTTTTTGGCGGTGCGACAATAAATTTGCACAGGCGGCCCCTTGAGAGGCCTCGCGCCCTCACTCCTCAAAACACACCTGCCGTGCTTTTTTCCTCCTGGAGATACTGCCATATGAAATGCCGCCGACGCCACCCTCCAACGCCTCGGGGTTCAATTTTGATTGAGCCTCGTCATCACCGACACCTCGCTTGAAAAAAAACCTCCCGCAGGTGGGTTTTATCAGCTACGGCGAGTGGAAGAGCTTCGAAGACTGGGTGGACCACTTCAAGAGCGACCACGCCGAGAAGTGGGTTTGGTCCTGAGGGATCAGGGGCGGTGACACACACAAAGGATCACGCCCCAGGCTTTGCTCAGAACAGGTGTTTTAGTTTTGGTTGGATGAGGGAGATATAACGCGTGGAGATTTTCTTGATATGTGTGGGCCGATATGTGTGCAGAAGCATCTCTGCTGGTCGCGCTCTCGCGCCCTCGAGGGCGCTTGATGCAGACCGTCTGCCCGCGAGCTGTATCATGTCGATCGCAGCCAGCTCACGGTCAGGTTCACGGCCTCTCAGCAACCGCCATCCCTCCTCAGCTATCATGCTGCCATGCAATCTCGTACGCTAGCAAGCTCGCTTTCTGCCGAGGAAACGCACCACTTTCTGTCACCTGACTGTCTTCCTTCCTTCGCCGCCCCCTGCACTTGAGCTTCATACACTTGGGCATCCTTTTCCCTGACATCCCCCCTCATGTGCACCTGCCAACAAACCTCGTCCTGTCTATCGCACAATCCAAGGTTCATGGACCGCCTGCGTGACCTGGACATCCCATTCAACCTGCAGCCCCTCTACCAGCCCAAGGACGCCGGCGAGCTGGTGGGTTGTTTCTGCTGCTTTTGGCCCCACAAGATTGCATGCAGCCGGGACGGTTTTGGGCGTTTTCCGATTGTGGGACGGAGGGAAGCAAAGAGGCAATGATAAGCAGCGGGCAGGCGCCCGGACGGGGGGGAGACGGCTGGCTTTTCTGCTTGCCTTTTTTGTGTTGGAAATGCAATGCTTCATTAGCGGAGAACAGGCCTTTGGCGCCGCTGTGCCATGAATGTTGCCTCAGCGGTGGGTAGGCCTTTGGCTCCGCTGAGGGGCGGGGGTGGGGGGCTTAGTGGCCTCAAGCTGTTGGCTGGCCGGGGCTCCTGGGCGGGCCGCCACGAGCGGGATCAGAGGAAGCCGCCCGTGTCATTGTATTAATCAAGGAAGGAGAAGCTGCATTTTGGAGTGGATAGCTTTTGAGTGGGTTGAGTGTTCCCAAACAGCCTTGCCTTGATTGTGGGGGTGAGCTGCCTCAACGCGCAAACGCGTGAGGCATTATGTTTATTTGCTCCACGCATTTCCTGAGCTCAAGCAAACAAACACATGTGTTGGTGGTTACGGCTGCGCCGCCGCACTCCACTGGGATGTCAAACCTGTGAACGAGTGAGGCGGTTGCACCGGTCCGTACCTCCAGCGCCCCTTTAGGCAGTGGAGCAGCGTCGCGGCAGGCGCGTCCGCCCCGCCTACGCGGCGCATTTATATTTGAACAAACGCCGTCCAGGGCCCCCCCCTCAAAGCATGTTGCCCACCTCCCCCCCTCTCAAAGCACATTCTTTCTCGCCTCCAAGAAACATCAAAACCACAACTAGACGCTATTGCCTCTTGAAAACAACGTCAAAACTGCAACCAACGTGCCCTCACGCACCTTTTCATTGTGTGCAGCATGTGAAGCCTGAGGGCGGCAAGCACAAGTGAGCGGTGCAACTGGCAGGCTGCGGCGCCCGATCAAATCCCGTCGCGCGCGCACGCGCGCGTGCGGACCTGCTTGGTGGCTGCAGCGGCGAGGTGACACTGCTTGCCAATGCATGCCCCACGCCACCCGCCTGCGATCAACCCTCCCTCTGGCCGCGCTGTCCAGTCATGCGCCTGCTCGCCTCGTCGTCCTGTCACCCGCGACAGGACGAGATTCAGCAGTGCACGAAAAACGCACCTCTTACGCCCTGCGTCCCCCCCTCAATACTTAATTTCCCTTCGGCCGCCGCCGCTGCTGCCCACTCTACCGCCGCAGGCGCCACATGGCCCACGCTCTGGTGCGCTACTGGGCGCCCCCCTCTGCCCACGACGACCTCGTGGACGCGTGGCACGAGGCCATGGAGGAGACCAGCAAGTGAGGCTGACGATATTTATCGTGCTGAAATCCGGAAATCTTTCTTTTCTTCTGTGCAGCTGTAGCGCGAGGAGCTGTACATTGGTGGCTGAACAGCTCGTCGGAGCGATTGAATCGCGTCGACCAACAAGAATTTTGGCACGCACGACACACATACCAGGTGCGACCCTCTATGCAATTGCTCACCCGCGCCGCCGACAACGCCGCCTGCTGCGCACCCAAACTACTTCGCAGGGAGAAGGGCGTTCGCATCTACTCCCTGCGCAAGGTGACCTGAGGTGTTAGCTCGTTGCACAGCCCCCAAAAGCTGGCAAGAAGGAAGTTTTAGACCCGCCATCTCTGGACTGCTTGTTGCTGTTGTCTGCAGTAAATCCTCATGACTTTTCAGCAGGGCGTTGACAAAGGTTGGAGCCTTGTCTCATCTCATTGGCAGGTGCGTGGCAGAATCAAACATTCGCCAACATCTTAAGTGCCATCTCATCCACGCCGCCCTCTCCACTTCCTTATACAATAACGCCGACCGCCGCAGGCCGTCAACGACAACACACAGGCAAGACGCACTGCCGCGCCAGTGCCGCTATATATATGCGCCGCCCACCTTGTGTATGCGTGATCAATCAGCGATGGACACTTGTTGCCTGTCAAATGTTGGGAAGTGCTCTCGACGTCCTTTTCAGCGATCCCCAAAAGCCCTCGTGTTTCACACACATTTCAAATGTGAAAACCCTGACCCCTGATCTCCGACACCTTTGAGGACCTCTTTAACCCATATACCCTGCCAATCGCCCCCACCCCACCCCCCCCCTCCCCCAACCCCCAGTGGGCCAGCTATGGCACATGGGACTCCATGGAGGACCTCCACGACCACTTTGAGTGAGTCATGATGATGTCACAGTGATGTCAATGGATGATGCATTGAAACAGCCGTGATCCAGGTGGCCGCAGCCAGTCCTGCACAGCTGGCGTGCTGTGTGGTGTGTGCAGCTCTTTTTGAGGCGTGTGCAGCCGCATGCAGGAGTTGCCAGGCTGTCAACTGCAACGGCTTGCGCTCTTGCGTGCTGCGTACCCCGCTCGCATGCATTCTGGAATGCTTCTTTTTGTGCTATTGAATTCAGCTGGCTACTAGCAGTGTGCTTTGCTCCTCTCCTTTCTTGCTGCCGCTCCTGGGCATGGCCCCATCCCCCGGGAGAGGGCCCTCACTGAGGGTCTGTTTTGGCAAAACAGTCATCCTCAGCCCCCAACAGTCATCCTCGCCCCCAAACAATCAATCAAACCCCCAAACAATAACCCTCGCCCACTCCCCCCCCCCCCCGTCAGGTCTGAGCACGTGGACAAGCTCAAGGACAGGCTGGCCAAGCTTAGGGTGTACTGGTGGGCTGGGGGAAGGGGGGAGGGTACCGTTTGATGCGCTTTCAAACAGGAATGTCGTCCATTGACAGGAACGTTGCACTGTCGCGGTGGCTTCTTTTGAAATTCCTGCGACTGGACATTGCAAGCGTGTTTGTACAGCAATCGTGTGGCTTGCGTGCGTGGTGGTTGCTTTGAGGGGGCCTGGGGAGGTGTTGCGTTGGTTCTGATCATATCAAGGATAAAGGCATTGGTGGCACAGCTTTGCTTGTTGGGCGAACGATTTCAGCCAGGCTCTGACGTGCCTTTCTCAGCAATTACTTTCTGCGAACACAGCAGGTCCCCTGGCTTGCTCTGAAAAATCGCTTGGCCCCAGTTATCATGCCCCCCCCCCCTAAGTCTCCCCCCCCCGCAACCACGACGACCACCATCGCCTCCCTCGTCATTTCCTCCCGCCCACAACAACCGCTACCCTCTTGATTTGATCCCACCCACATGCCCCCTCCCCTGGCCACCCCCAGGCGCATCACCCTGCTCCACAAGGTCGGGGACCAGCCCGAGTGAAGTGACGAGACGATTATGTCATAATGATGTCATCCAGGCGAAGTCAAGACGACATCGCGCGACAGTGGCGGCCCTAGCGGACGCTGCGTCGCCGCACCAAAGGAACGGCGGCGTTGGCTTTCGCCCCATACTACAGAGGAGGGGGGACGGGCAGGGGCTGGGAAGGCGGGGCGTAGTAACAGCTTCAGGCGGCGCATGGGGTCGTGAAAGTAGGCATGTTGTTTGTATTCGCTGCGGCCGAGCATTTTGATGCCCTGCTTGACATCAGTGTTAGGTGCATGCACATGCAGGCAACTCCAGTGCTGTGCGCGCTGGAATGTATTATGTACGTGGCGGATCGGCAGTGGCACAAGAGTAGTGGGAGCTTGTGCGCGCCTCAGTCGCCCTTGCTTGAGCGCTCGGAACGTCGCTTGCATGTGCAGTAAGGAGGGCTGCGTGTTGCTGATCATAACGCGCGGCCCTGCACTGAGCGTGCTGCGCCACCCAGGTTTCCTTTATTTGCATGTGGCAGCACTTTTGAACCGCTTGTGGTGGGTGTGGCTGCCGAAAATTCTACGGCTGGTGCCCTATCTGTGTTGTCTGAGTCGTGTGGTTGTGGCGTTGGGCTGAGGTTGTCAGCTGGGTTCGCGTGAAACATCCCCGCTTGTAACAACAGAGAATTGATCGGGCAAGATCTGTGGCATTACACTTCGTGTGCACCAAGCCCAACAACCCGACCTTATTGGGGTGGTTGGAATGGAATGAATTGGTATGCAGGTGAAGATTACTAAGCAGTGCGCATGAGTCACATTCAGCGCATCAGTACAGAGTGGCAGCGCAGCAAACCTATTCTGTACATTTGAGCCTACACGTGGCCAGGCAACGCGCAGCGCGCCAAAAGAGCTGCTGATGGGGAATGTTGACCAAGGCGTTCACCGCCTGGATTGACCGGCTGGTGCAGCTGCATTGATGAGGGCCCTTGGCATGTGCTGCTGGCTGTTGAGCACTGAAGATGGAGGTCACATCAAGAAGCACGGCATTATTGCCAACACTGAATGTCACACACGCATGTATGCGCAACGTACGCGGCTGCTCAGGCAGCTCAGCTTCCAGACAAAACAGCAGGGGCCGTCAACCCGCGGCCGCGCCCAGCAGCCGCGCGATGCGGGTCTCATGGGGTACACACTGCGGCCGGGCCCGTTCAACCACCACCCCCGCCGCCGGCAGGCGGGCGCCGCCGCGTGCAGCCGCCGCCGCCGCCGCCGCCGCCGACGACAGCTCGCGGGTCAGTGAGCTGTCGGCCTCTGCGCCCAACAGCCGGACGGCGCGGGCCGCCTCCC